GGAAAGGGCAGGGGGAGGGTACAGACTGAGAAAGAAGGGAAATGGATCTGACAAAGACAAAGAAGAGGGCACAAAGGCATCATGCAGGTGGAAGGCTGAGAAGAACAGAAATACTAGTCTGTAGACTGCCAGAAGTGAGGAGAAAGGGAGGCTAGGAAGAACCCTACAGTACTAGAATTGGGATTGATTAGACTAGATCGCATGGTGATGCTGCAACTTAAAGCAAGGAGGCCAAAGGAAATAATAAATGAAAAGTAAGCTGATGACATCTCTATGATATTTTACCTACCATCCAGAAGGAGAAATAAGTTTAATGGAATACATACAGGTGTTGTTATATTACAGATGGCACATATGAACCATTCATGACCACATGACCCATGCAATATACTCCAAAGATAGCCCAGCCCAACCTGGCTCACCATCAAGCAGCAAGAAATAGAAATTCCTATGTGACAGGACACACAAGTACAGTATCACAAGGAGTGCACTCATTCAGCATCAGAACCACTTCAAGGATCTGGCAAATAACCTCCTCCATAACCGGGTAGTGGCTATCACTGTAATCACAAATGCAAAATACAGCCAGCGGGTGCTGAACCAGCCAGTGACTGGGATAAAAATGTTCTAGAAGGTGAGCCTTTAAGAAGAAAAGGCTATCAGTTAGCACTGACTATCAATTAGCGACTCTGAGGTCTGAAGACAAATACAAGATCCGTATTTTCACAGAAATCTTATTAAAAATAAGTCTTTAAAAAGTGAAAGCACCACTCCTCCAAAGTGTAACAACCATTATAACAATGATAAGAATGACAACTATTTAAGGACACTCTCTCTGGAGTAGCACAAAGGAAGGATACAGTACAGTCTAGAGTCAGAAAATTACTTACCATATTTTTGGATGGCACCTAAATTTAAAACAGTTTTCATATCCAGTTTGATTTATTTATACTTGCATTCCATAACTGAATGAGACAAAAAAAAAACCCAAAAAACTTAGACATCTTGATCACAGCTGCTATACAAGTTATGCTGTAGGGTGAAACTGGTTCCTTCAAACTACTTGTTTATTGATTGCATTCCATACCTATGAAGTTTAAACTTGAAAGGTAATATGGTTCCAAAAATAAGAAACCAAAACATTCCAGATGACATCCAGTCTCATTAATGAGTTAACTAAATGGATAAGGGAAGTAGTGTCCAGTAATTATTTGTAATTTATTAAATGAAATCAGCTATAATGTCTTCAGCATGTATACTGACTAACATGAAAAAACAAGAAAAAATCAAAAATTAAAGTTGGAAAAACACTCCAATTCTGACACACTGGACATGTTTATTTCTTGGGTACTTATTTATTATCAAATGTTACGCCAAAACGTCTGTCTCTACATATTCTCACATCTAAAATGTAATTCATGATAGTCATTAACAATGACCAATGTTATTTTGTCTGTTAACAACAGTTATGATATATAAAATACACCCTCAAAAAATGATACTCAAACCTGGCTGAGTTAACCAGCATAAACGATTCTGATCCTCTGTTCAGAGACCTCAGAATATAATTCAGATTATATTGCGTATCCGTTATCCTTCACAGGACTCACAAACCAGAAAGGGCTTGAGAACTAACATATTTCTATTATCTCTTGTATGGCCTGTATGCAAGATGCCAAATGATGGATGAAATCCCACTCTTTAGATGTAAAAGGGGTTGCTGTAACCAAAATAATTTGTCACAACAACTTTCAACATTTGGGAAGACAACTAGTCCATTTAATTCAGTGTCCCAGGCCAGCACATCTCTTACATCTAACAAACAATACTTCTCTTTGGATCTTCCTTAACTCATTTTCCATATCCCTAGCTAGGCATTTTATATACGCCTAACTTTCTATGACATTACCAAAAAACCTTAGATTGTGTTCTCAAGTCTCTTTCTGACATATTACATCTGAGCTCTCAGGAACCTACTAGATTCAGCGTGTCTCAGTTCATTCCACTTCATTACCCATCCTTATCCTCTTATGTTGTCACAAGCATGGCTCCCATCTCGAGTTAGGGGAACTGAGCATTTCTTGATGGCCTTTCAGGATGCAGTTACCTGCTTTCTGCACCAACCTCTAACAAAACCAGCCATCTAACTCCGATGCCTCAACTTACATAAACATGGGGTTTGGGTCAAACATTGCAACACTCGGTGTTAAAACATCCAAGAGACTGCTTACAGACAAACTGCCGTGCCCAGAGTCCCACTATTTTTAATAGGCCTCCACACTCAAGACCCAGAGGAAAAAGAAAAGCACTTGAACACCACAAACAGCAAGCAACATGGGTGAAAGGTGCCTTGCAAGAGCAAAGCATTGCCAATTAGGTCCACTGTTTGCTTCAGAAAAGTGAATTAATTCCTATGTTTACATGAACAGCTTGACATGTTCAGTTACTTTTGTGTGCGTGTGTATTCACTGGAAAAGTTATGTCTATAACAACACAATAACAAAAGTTCACCTTGCTTGGATATACTGCTACAGGTGATTTATAAATATTCATTTACCAATTTGTTCTAAAAACCTTTTACGTTGGATATTCAGGTTAACAAAGTTTCTCAAATTGATCCCTTGCAGAAAATGGCTCAAGTATGGAAACTCCCTAACCTTCCCTATAATAAATAGTAGTGTATAACTCAGCTACCATAAAGATGTTTTAATGCTTTTACCAACCTCCTTTGCTGTTTGTCTAGCCTTATTTGTGACAGAAAAACAAACAAACAAAATAAGAGTTCTCTTGGTCTCTTTCCATAGGCATTCATGTTTTAATCTGAGCTGCTAATCTAAGTAAATTTTTATCAGCAAGTATTTTAACAACTTTATCTCCTTTTCACTGATTTTTTTTTTAAACCCACACATTACTACATCAAACCTCTTCTAGTCTCTTCCCATCCCCCTTCACAAAAAAGTATATTTGAATGTAGTAGAGCCAACCACAGCACAAAATGGTTTTGAATTGTAATATCTAGAACCAGGCCACTGAGCTTTTAGAAATCAATCAGCAATTCTTTCTTCTTAAATAAGTTTTCTGCCTGATTGTGCCAAAAAACCTTACTGCCTAAGTATCACCATCATGCCCTCTCTGTGACAAATGTACATTTGGTCCGAGTCTGGTTGCTTCTTTTCATATGCTTAGATTGCGGCTTTGCTGTTTCCTGCCTTGACTTAATTGATTTCTGATCTGTTTGGTTTGTTTTTTTTTTAAAGGGTACTAAAGATTGTCTTTATTCCTAGAAGATGCATCATCCTTAAATAGGTGTTGCTTGTCACCTGTTGGATGTCCAAGACTTAAGCAACCACAATTTAAGATCCGAAGTTGTTTTATGGGTGCCTGACAAAAATCACTTAGCTCTTACCTCCTGAACACCTTTAACCTCAAATGATCATAGTCCATGAATAAATAAAACCAAGACTCTTTAGTTATGTATTTATGTATTTTCTTAATGTTTATGTGTTTTCATTATGTATGCTAACTGTAAACTATGTGTTACACAAAGCTTCAAACAGCAAAATTTTATGATCTGTGCCCAACTTGTTTTGACAGTAAGATGAAAGGGTGGAAGCAGAGGCAAGTGACCTAGAAGGAGTATAGAGCTGCTGTTTGATCGTGCAAGTATATGATTAGGAAAGCCAAGGTTGACCTGGAGTTGAATTTGGCAAAAGATGCAAAGAACAACAAGAAAGGATTCTGCAAGCAAATCAGCAGCAGAAAGAAGATATGGACCTACTGCAGAACAGGGCAGGGAAAATGGTGACATAGGGCATGGAGAAAGCATAGGCATTTAATGCCTTTTTTGCCTCAGTATCCACCAGGAGACAGCCCTCAGGAGTCCTAGGTTTCTGAGACTCAAGGGGAAGTCTGCAGCAAGGAAGACTTACCCTCAGTGGAGGAAGCCAGGGAACACTTAAACAGAACATACAAAAGCATGCATCCTTTTAGCAAAGGAGGCCAACAGCATTTTGTGATGCATTAGGAAGAGTATCGCCAGCAGGTTGAGGGAGGAGATCCCTTCCTTCTGCTCAGCACTGGTGAGGCCACATCTGGAGTACTGTGTCCAGTTCTGGGCTCCCCAGTACAAGACAGATATGGAGTTACTGGAGCAAGTCTAACACAGAGCCACAAAGATGATTAAGAGACCAGAGTATCTGACACATGATGAGAGGGCAAGACAGGCAAGACTCTACAGCCTAAAAAAGGGAAAGCTCAGGGGGATCTTAGCAATTTATATAAACACCCAGTGGGAGGGAATGAACAACAGGAAGCCAGATTCTTCTCAGTAGCACCCACTGACAGGACAAGAGGCAATGGGCAAATTTTCCTGAACATGGGAAAACTTTTTTACTGTGATATTACTGTGATATTTTACTGATATTCATATGTCTTTCTTTTCATTCTTCCCAGCATTTATAAAGTCCCTACAACTTTTCTACCATTTCCGTTACCAGGCAATAGACTGTAGCAAAGTAACATAAAACTTCCATGAACATATAACTGCACAATTCTGAAGAGAGATGCTTCAGGGCAGTAAAGAACACAGAGATTACCAGACTGGAAAACTGCAATATGTAAACTAATACAGTAAAACTGTTGGGGGGGGGGGGGGCACGGAGGAAAACCCGAAAAGGGTTTTTAGTTTTTGACTAGTTCAAAGCAAAATTCAAGGAGCTCAGCCAATTCTGGCTCCTTTGAAGTCAATAGGAACATACTAGGCTGCCATGGTAATGCCACTGTTGAACAACTTACAAGCTGTTGGCATGGCTTGTTGGCATGGCTGCTGCCTCCCAATTTCTCTATACCCGTTTTTGAATCGATCAGTCAAATTCACTTAGTCTTTCAATTTATCTTAACTTACATCAAAAATAATATACTTTTGTATAACTACATGACTTTTATAACAAGTTGACTAGAATAAGGGAAATAACGAACACAAGTAATTGAAATTAAAATACCTGTTATTGAACAGTACACTATGTGAGGAGCAATCTTTTTAATATCTTCATAACCTAGACCCATTTCAGCCAGTTTCCCAGGGACGTAGTTTTCCACAAAAACATCAGACGCTGCTGCAAGCTTTAGAAAAGAAAAGGATAAGTAAGATTTGTTAATGAGCTTCTAAAAGTTCAATAAATTCCTCATGTAACTTAATTTAAAATCTCACTAATCAAAATGGCTCCAATCTTTCTGACAAAAAAAAAACCCACAACTTACAAACCAAGCAAGATATTTTTTGACCTGTTAAACTGCATCTCTGCGAACTATTAGAGATGCTGCGTATCTAGAAAGAAGACTGCCAAAATCCTGTGGACACTAGGCAAAACTATAATATAATTATATTATCAGTATCACATCAATTTCCTAAGACTTGATGACAGTTTACCAAACAATCATCACCTTTATACCTGCACTTATCTTGAGAAAAAGGCAGGAGAAAGAATGCATCTTTATCCTTCATGCTCTCTCTACCTTAGAATTAATTTTATAAATTGGTTTTCATTTTAAAATCATTGATTACAATTACTATAGGAGAGGCCATATATCTCACTTCCTGTATGTAGAAGCAGAATAGTGAGCCCAAAAGTTTTATTGAGTTAAAATGAACATCTTAAAGTCACCTTAATTAGAATAGTGCTGTTGAGCTCTGCAATGTGACTTTCTCCATCACATCTAAACGAATGACCCAATCCAAAAATCTATTGAAGTTAAAGATTAACATATAACCCTGATGGGCTTTAAATTACATCTCTTTTTCCTTATAGTAGTTATAAATAGATATACGTGTTTCAATAAGACTAATACAAATTAAGAACTCCTGAAGCAAGAGAACTACATGTTAAAAGAAAGATGTATGCCTTGGAGGAGTTGTAGGTTTTTTGCTTGGTTGTTCCCCTCCCCCAGGAATTTAAGAAACTATTCCCTGACAGGTACACACATTTGTGCACACATTTTTAAGCATAACCTAAAACATCTGGTTTCTTAATACTATTTGCAGCTGATTAGAGAGTCACTGAAACTGCCATGTCACTGTCTGATTAATATATACAATATATTGATAATTATTTTTTAGTATTAATTATTAATAATTATTATAATAATTATTAATAATTATATCAATAATTATTATTGTTCTATACTATATATAAATATACTATATATAAATATACTATATATAAATATACTATATATAAATATACTATATATAAATATACTATATATAAATATAAGAAAATGTCTAAATATAATCATATATAATATATTATATTATTTCTATTGTATTTCATTACTTATTAATTATATATTATTACTTATTAATAATTATATCATTATATTAATATATACAATATATTAGACCAGCTTCTATAAACCAGTGTCATCATAACAGCAATCACAAGCATTTTTGTTCTAGCATACAGGCTGTTCAGCTGAACTTAAGGCCAAAGAAGCTGCCAAGCCAGCAAGTATTTAACGGGCAAGATAGAAACCGATTCTTATTTCAGACAAAGCAGTACACAACTTACGAATGGTTTAATTGGATGCATGGAAGAAACATTAATAACATTTACAGAAACTAAGTTCAGCATACAGGAAAGGTGCATTTTAAAATACGTTATTAAGTATTTTTAAAGTGGCTATGTCAAGAACCTCTAGGACTATAGTAAAATAAGAAACAGTCTCCAGATTCTTAATAAGCATTGCTGGGCTTCAATGTGGACAGCTGGCTGTTTTTTTTAATTCATGATTCCATAGAGTGAACAGAACATAACTTCATGGAAGTTATTAAAAAAAAAAAAAAAAAAAAAAAAGAGACATTTGTCACAAGAAGGTTCTCAAGAAGATCCAGGTTTCCACAGAGCTGAAGCATTTGCTAATAAAAACAGAAGTAGCTCAGACAGATCTACAGCTGTCCCAGTCCTCAGTACTGTAACATAAAAAGCACCATACCTCTGGACTTGGCAACATACATGGGATGACAACAGCGCTAAGTGAAGATACAATGACCTGGGCCCAGTTTAGCAGTGTATAAATTCTCAGAGAAATGAACATGAATTTTCAAGACATCCTGTAAGTGCTGTGTCAGCTCTGCCACTAAAGTTTTCATGACACTTAGAAATAGTCTCTAGTGCATAAAGGCAGCAGTCTCTGTATAGTACTTTTTTTTTTTTTATGCTCACTGAACGAAGCATAGGTATCCAGGGCTCTGTCATTATGGAGAACTGGATTCAGACTCTGATCTAAACAAACTATATATTCTTAAAACACAAAGGCATTTTCAGTCTCAATGGGGTTTTAAGTCCACTGTCAACTGAAATTTAACACTTCATGTCCTACAAGTCCTCTGAATACATCACTTGGATTTTAACCTCTACTAACAGAGCAATACAACACAGACCTGAGCTGGAATACTATGTATTCCAGACAGGACACTGATATGCTCAACGTCTATGCCTCAGGAAAGGAAAAAAAAGTAGTCATTACATTGAATACCAATAACAAATAATGATGATACTAACTTGATAAAGCGAACTATTCACACCTTTTGGAAGTTTTGTTTGGGGGGTGGGTGGTGGTTTTTTGTTTTGGTGGCTTGTTTGTTTGGGTTTTTTGTTTGGTTGTTTTTTTTACAAAACACTCCACAGAGGAGAATGTGCATACACACACAAACATGTATACCCACACACGTATTTGTGTGTACATATACAAATATACATATTTGTGTGTGTATATATATAATGTATGTGTGTAAATAGTTTGCATTATCAAGTGAGAGAGCATGCATGAGACACGCTGACCTATCAGCTAAAGGTAATGGAAGGGAAGAAGGAGGGCCATCAGCTCCCAGGCAATTGAATTCTCCCACGTTCTTCATGAATAAATAGAAAAGTTAATTAGTTAAGGCTAAATACTCAGGAGAAAGGTATCCTCAAGGTTCTTAAAGCAAGCTTCTGACAATAACTGCTGAATAATGCTCTAAAGAGATACTGAGCCATATTACAACAAAAAGATGTCAGAGCATGGGACTGGTGCACATACCATCACTGAAGGGAAAAAGATAATTTTCATTCAGGAAGACATACAAATATTTGGAAGGCAGTTAACAGCGAGTCAAAAGCATTAGGAAGGAAGACAAGGCTACAAGCGACACAGAACAAAGAAACATAAAAGAGAAAACCAAAGATTGTGGGAACCCTGTAATCGTGTAATTATGAAAGAGCAGACCCTTGCACCAGTATTTTGTAGTGCTGTGCCAAAGGAAGAAAAGCAGCCAGGACTCCTGATTAACAGATTTCTTCAGCTCACTTGATACTACTGACTGAATTATCATATACCTGAAGACTCTACTCGTTTGTTTTTAATGATTCTACATTCTGAGATTTGCCCTCTTCTACCTATATGGAATTTACGAAAGGGGGAACCAAAATTTATTCCAACCATGCTACCTTTCTTAATATAAAAATTATAACCTTATTACTTTTCTTTGTAGGGCTTAGGCTCAGGACACAATTCATATTTATGTATGAGTAACCAGTGTCACAAACTTGAATTTCTTCTTGCCATCAATTACTTTACAGGCATGAACACTATTTTTCATAGTAACAAATACATTGCTGAACAATGCTCAATTCTATACACATCTGTCCTGATGTTACCAGGAGCCAACTGAAAACAAGAGCCTGCTATAGATAACTTCCCTTTACATATTCTCTTTGACAAAACTCCAAGCAGAAGTAGTTATATTCTCGTTCCATTTGAGATACAATAATGGAATGTCAAGGCCTCTGCACCAAATACTTCCAAGAACTACAACTCTAAAGCAAGCAGAATGATGAACAACTCCACAAATAGAGTCACATTTCAATAATGGCTCATCACTTCAGTCCACAATATTGCTATACGACAGATAGGGATGCCATTGATTTAAGGAACAGAAAGTTGCAGTGGTTATGAAAGCAACTTTAAAGAAGGATAGAAACTATAAGAAAGTACTTTGTCACAGGAAATTCCCTCATGGTAAATATTTAACAGAGTTAGTTCTCCCACTGGAAATTCCATAACATCACATCTTTGGAAGTAATTCTCATACATGCTTCACTATTTTAGTGACATCAAGCTGAGGGAAAAATTAACATTGCTGCTGGCAGGAACGATTTGTCTGTAGCTCTAAGTACTCTTACTGCCAGCTATCCTATCTTCAGCATCATGATAGCTCTACGTGACAGCGGTACAAGAGATCTTACCAGTAGGAAAAGGGTGGGAAGCCCAGCACTGAGCTGACAGAGAAGATGCTGCTCTTGCATGACAAAGGAGGGAGAAGAAAATTGCTGCTTTGATTTAAAAATTATGTGGGATTTGAAATCAACCAGGCACCTGAGCCTCAACCACAAAGGTTACATTGCAAATTCTTAAGTCACCAGCCATTCAACTCCATAGACCATGAAAAGGTTCTTCATATTGCAGGCAGAAAGTTATACATTTAAAACCAGAATCAAGCAGTAATCTTCCTGCACAAATGTCAGTATGAGAAATGGGGACCTTCCTAACGACAAATAGTGGCAGTCACATAAGAAGCATACGCTGAAGCCATCTTTTCTCCAACTCATCCTGACTCATAGGCCCAGCTGCCTTTAACTCTTCAAACAGGCCCAGCCCACACAAATGGAATCGGCGAGTTTTGCAGAGAGTAGTTTCTCTTTCACCATTTTTAAAGGTCAAATAACAAGCCAGTCTTCTTATGCGAGAGGAATAATTTTTATAGTCCTTATTTAGAATGTGAATAGTTTATCCAAAACAAATTTATGCAAAATTATTCCAAGTGACAGTGCTTGTTTCCAAAACCTTTAGAAGGCTAACATACAGCTTCATAACAAATCAACACTAAATGGTTCTGTACTGCAAAGAAAAAAGGCACTGCAGAATCCTTGGCTTATAAACTCCAAAGATTTCCATATGAAGTGTCTTTTACATAGCTGACAGGGAATAAAAAAGGTCAAAAGTATCAGACAACTTAATCTATTTCCATATCATGCAATATTCCCAACAAAAAAATACCACACCAGACAAATTCCACTTATTGCAGGGCACATACAGCCTCACTGTGAAAAAGTGATTGGAACTGATATTGAAACAAACAGTAACAGAAGCCAGCTCACCCTTTTAGATGTGTTAGTACTGCAGGGCTAAAAACACAGCACTAGCAAATAGCAGGTCTTATGTTTCTCAATAAATAAAAAAGGGATGACAAAGCACAAGTTTCAAGAATGTGAAATATGATGCTTTTATTAATTTTTCAATGGAAAAATGCATCACCCTTAAAAGACCCTTTCATTCTGAACTCAAAATACTCAAAAAAGAAACAAATATTAAGTTTCACCTACAGGACAGTATTTCTCAGAAAGATGCACAGCACCTGAAGTCATGAATACACTGTAACATTCAAAAACCTGTAAATACTGGAGCCCAGTATCTCCTCTTTGTAAACTGCTCAGACTTCATCAGATCAGTCCAGCTTGAATCTTTCTAATGAAATAGTACAGCAATATCAAATACAGCAACAGTAAAAGGAAAGCACTAGGCTGTTGGACCCTTCCCTCACAATATTTCATTTGAAGCTTCTGATGACATTTTTCATGTAAATTTTCTATCTAAAATCATTAGAAATTACACTAAACATTGAGTCCAAAAGCACAGAGTACAAAGGCTATGTACTGTAATTTAACAAACTTACTGCACACATACATCTTTTTAATTATCAGATATCAAATTAATACTTTAAATGCAGAGTTTATTCTTTATTACTCAGGATCAAAACAATACAAAATAGGCACAATTTGCATGCTGTGAAAACCTACCTCTCTGATTAGCTTTGCTCCTTTTGAATCCTTCATGTTAATAGCTATACTCTGGGGATTAAAAAAAAAAAAAATAGAACAGTAATTTATGTGAAAGCCCTTCTGGTGATTATCATCCTCTTCTAAACATAACCAACAGTCAAGTTCCACACTACAGCTAAATCAAGTAAGTAAATTTTAACACACACCCCACCACTCCCTGCAAAAGAAAAATCTGTTGGTAAAGCAAGCTGAACTGTCTCACCAATGGATCAGACATGCACCAAAACAAGTCTGACAGATGTGCAGCTGGGAGCTGCACTGCAGTCTGTTCACTGTATGTTTGCACAGCACCTACTACTGCAAGTACACATGGGGACACCAGAAACATTTGTTTCAATGGCAACAAGCCATTAAACAGCTGAGGCATGTCATGAAACTTCATCTTAATCCTGAAGTTTCACAAGCTACCTTTAGCCAGCCTAACTGTGGTAGGACGCCTGCTCTCCTCCAGCTCCAGCTGCCAGCTGATGCAGGTCAGCTGAACTGATGCACCTGAAATAAGTGATTCTTCAAATAAAATAACCCTTACTGTCAGCTGAGTTCATTTTCAGTCAATTTGCACCAGCAACTGAGGACTACCAGGACCACTCTTTCTTTCTGAATTTGCCTCAGCTGACCACAGCACCATACCAGAGGTTTGCAGCCTTTTTTGTTCAAAAGAACTCTTTCTCCTGAAATTTGTTCAGCATAACTTAAGGCCAATGTAACTATTGCTCCATTATATACATTAAGAATCAAAGAAGTGTTATGTCTTCAGTTGTCATTACAGAAAACATAGGCTTATGTTCAATACCACACTCCATTTACCTTTTTATTTCTATTGACACTGAGAAAATAAACACTTTCTGTTCCAGCAAAAGGCGGGCCCCAGGCTCTTGTATCATCACCAGCTCCTGAAAGAAATACCATCACAGTTTCGTAGTTGTCCAATATCACACTGCCAACAAATAAAAAGAATAAAAAAAGTTTCCTCCAGTGTCACATTTAAACTACCTAAACTTCATCTAGCAGGCAGGACAAAAATTAGTTAATATCTATATTTCAGGATATTTATGTCCAAAAAACACCTAAAAGTGAACATGATTAAGCAAAGTGAACATAGTATTAGTTAGTGCTGGGATTACTTTTAGGCTTTAAAATATACAGCCACACACCACCAATTTATCTGTGGGTTTTCTGGTTGTTTTTTGTTTGTGGGTCAGGGAGGAGGTGTGTTTGTTTGTCTTGTTTTTAACTTCAAGCAGAGCTACAATGCCATTCTTTTAGGCAATCCAAAAGAATTTTGTAGAAGCTAAAGGGGTAATGGTTTTAAACTAAAGAAGGGTAGATTTAGACTGAACACAAGGAAAAAATTTTCCACAATGAGGGTGGTGAAACACTGGAACAGGTTGCCCAGAGAGGTAGTAGATGCCCCATCCTTGGAAACATTCAAGGCCAGGCTGGGTGGGGCTCTGAGCAACCTGATCTAGTTGAAGATGTCCCTGCTCATTGCAGGGGGTTGGACTAGACGACCTTTAAAGGTCCCTTCCATCCCAAAGCATTCTGTGATTTAAGCTCTTGCCCTGCACCAAGTCACACAGCACACATGCTCAATAAGCTATTCCTGAAACACTCTGGACACAACGTCAAGATACCACTGATCAGCAACAACTTCTTAAGCTGCATGCTGCAAGAACACCAACAAAAAGAAGCACTTGCCATAGCTGGTGTGATCCCCCACCTCCAGCCCTTCCAGAAATACTCCTGCCTTACTGAAAGGCAGGATGGCATTAAAGCTGCTGCAGGCACTGGTGTCACTGTATCGCTTATGCTTAATTTCCGATTTTAAACCTTTCTTAAACGTCACGAACACTGGCAATCTATTTTAATTACAATTAAAACTAAGACTGGCAATCTATTTTAACTGGAATAAAAGCTAAATTTAAATTCAGAGATAATCATCATCCTGAGTGCTAGCAAGCATGCACATTCCCGTATCTATTTCAATATCTAGATTTTTATCTACTTGTTAACTTCATGTGAGTGAAAATTTTCCTTAGTGAGGCAACACAGAAGACTCCGATACTAGCATAAATACAGAAACAAGCTGAAGGACCTTTGGTCTTACACAATATACCCACTGTCATAATTATGCTATACTCTATGGTAACACAAAGTCTACAGCCATTTAAGATCAACTGTGGTAGAAGTTATACAAACATGTCATTTACTCATCAACATTTGTACTGTTTAGTATCTCAAAGAACTATTTTGGTTCAAGCAGGAAG